TGAGCGCGGAGCTGAGTGCGGGGCGCGGGCTGAGCGCGGGGCGCTGCGGGGCCCAGGCTGAGTGCGGGGCGCAGACCGTTCCTTTATTAGGCGCAGGGCGCGGGCCGGAGCCCGGCTAGCGGGGTGGGTGGGAGGCCGTTCCACAGCAGCCCACGACGGGCACCTCAGGAAGCCTGAGTCGCAGACGAGAAGTGAACCGACCCGGTCCCGCCCGGTGCCAGGAGGGGGGGCGCGACGGGGCGGGCCACAGGACGGGTTTTATTTGGAATCAGGGGGGAGGGAGGCTCCCGCGTCTCCCCCAACCCAAGCCACAGAGGGGCGCCCGAGGGCGGGCTGGGCGCTTAGTCCAGGCCAGGGCCGTGTACTCGGTACACAGAGTCCAGCTGGGCCCAAATAGGTCCACAGACTCAGCCCCACGGGACACGGGGGGGGAGCGTCTCCATATATATATATATATATAGTAAAAAATAATAAGTTTGTTTAAATGAATTTCGTTTCTATACAAAAATTGTAAAAGAAGAGAGGAGGAAGAAGCAGAAAAGGAAAGAATAAAGAATAATAACTCACAGGTGTCAGAGTGAGAGAGAAAAAAGAGAAGAGAAGGCTGGCAAGGGATACGGGAGGGAAGAGAAGGTCCCAGACTGGTTACAAGATTCAGAAGGTGGGTGTCAGCCCCCACATTATAAATAAAGGAAGACTAAGAGTCTGGGCTGGTGCAAAAGGCTGGTGAAGAGAGAGAGAGGAGAGGGAAGAGGGGGACAGAGAAAGACAGAATGTCAGGATGGGGTATCCTTCAGATCCAAGGTCCAAGAATTGAACACTTCAGGAAGAGACAGAAAGAAAGATAGAGACAGACAGATGTGAAGTTGGAGTGTCTTCAGATCCAAGGTCCAAGGATTGAAGAACACTTCAGGGAGAGAGAGGGAGACAGACAGACAGAGATGCAGAGCGAGGTGACAGATGGGGGGGGGGGTGAGGGTCTCTTCAGATCCGAGATCTAAAGCAAGGAGCTCTTCCTTCAGGCCAGCACCTGCCTCTTGGGGGTGACTTCAGGCTGGGGTCCCAGCTGGGTCTGGGCCTGAGTCAGGGGGGCAGGGACAGACAGGGGGTGCGGCTGGGCAGGGGGGGCGGCGGTGGCGGGGCTGGGCGTGGACTCGGACCAGTCGGGCAGGGAGGGGGGCGACGGGCTGGCCCAGTGCTCGGGAGACTCGGGGGACGGAGTCAGGTAAGGATGCTCATTGGGGACCCGGAGGAAGCGACCCTTCGCGGGGCTACCACCGGTCCCCGCAGCCGGGTATTCCTCTCCGTGCCCGGGAGGGGCCAGGTAGGGAGGGGGCCGCTCTTGGGGCGAGACGGGGGTCCCCGGGTTGAGCAGCTGGGGTCCCGGAGCCAGGGGCAACAGGAAGGAGGACCCCGGGGGTGCAGGTGGGGGCAGCCGGGCCCAGTCGAGGGGGACCGCCACGGGGTTCAACAGGCCCAGGCTGAGCACGCAGCTCCCGGGAGGCTGGCGCCCCAGAGCCGCCGCCCTGCCCGCACCCCCAAGCTGCGTCAAGGACACGGCGGTGGCCGCGGCCGCCCCGTAGGGAGCCTCCAGGGAGAAGCCTCCAGGGGAGGCAGGGGTCCCCCCGAAGGGCCGAGGGGAGTCCAGAGAGTCCACGGGGGACAGCGTGACCGAGCTGTCCGCCAGGGGGCCCGGGCAGGCCAGGCTCAGCTTCTTGCCCCGTCCGCGAGCGCCCTGCGGGCCCAGCCCGGCCTTCCCCAGAGGCCTGCGGCTCTTCTTGGCCCCCGACGGTGTGGCCTTCAGGCCGGGGAGGAAGGCCCCGGGGGGACAGAGCAGGGGTCCCAGGCCATGGGGCCCCGGGGGGCTGCGGGGCCCGCTGGGCTGGTCCAGGAGGTGCACGATGTCCTGGTGCAGCCGCTCGTGGGCCACGTCCCTGGGCAGCCTGTCCATGTGGTCTGTGATCTCCCGGTTGGCAAAATGATCCAGCAACAGCTTGACCACCTCATAGCTGCCCTCCCTGGCCGCCAGGAACAGCGGGGTCTCCTCCTGGGGACGGGGGGGGGGCACACCCACACATGTCAATGCCACCCTGGCCAAGGTCAGAGCGGTCACATCCCCGCTCTGTGCAGGACCTGACGGACATGCTCTTTCCTTTAGAAAGATCCAACAGGGCCAGGCGCCGCGGCTCCCACCTGGCATCCTAGCTATTCAGGAGGCTGAGATCTGAGGATCGAGGATCAAAGCCAGCCCAGGCACGGAAGTCCGTGAGTCTCTGATCTCCAATAAACCCACTTAGGAAACTGGAAGTGGCGCTGTGGCTCAAGTGGTAGAGCGCTAGCCTTGAGCTGAAGAGCTGAGGGACAGCGCCCAGGCCCAGAGTTCAAGCCCCCCCCCAAAAAAAAAAAATGAAATGAAATGAAGGTGGTGGAGGGGGCATATCCTTACTTCCCTACTTTGGAGATAAGAACAGAGGTTCAGAGACGTTAAACAGTTTCCCCAAGCTCACACAGCAGCTGCTACACACTTCTTCATCTGACCCATTCTTAGAGCCTCCTGGCCCCAAATCCCAGCCCTAAAAGCTGGGTGTGGGCACAGTGAATGCCCCGCTAGCTTTCCCCCACCCTGTTCTGTCACCTGTGCCCCCCCCCCCCGCCATACCCGCACGGGAGGGGAGGGGCTGAGGGCTCACCTTGCTGTCCTGCATGTCCTTATTAGCGCCGTTCTTGAGCAGAGCCAAGGCGGCCTCCACATTGTTCACCGCTGCAGCCCAGTGCAGGGCTGACTTCCCTGGAGAGAGGGGGGGAGTCAGGGTCCAGACCAGAGCCCAGCTCACACCCCCAGCACCCCAGTATGGGGGGGGGCAGTTAGTGTCTGCAAAACAGCTTGGGAGGCCGGCCAGCTGAGCACAGCTGAGCCCCTGCGCTTGGTGCGTGAATCAGTATTCCTATTCCCGCTCACTAATTCACTGGGCACCCATGGTGCACGCCTGCTTTCCCAGCTCCTCAGGAGGCTGAGATCTGAGGATGGAGGGTCAAAGCCAGCCTGGGCAGGAAAGTCCCTGACACTCTTATCTCCAATGAACCACCAGAAAACCGGAAGTGGCGCTGTGGCTCAAGGGGTAGAGCGTTTGCCATGAGCTGAAGAGCTGAGGGACAGCGCCCAGGCCCAGAGGTCAAGCCCCACAACTGACTAAATAAATAAATAAAAATAAAATATATATATAATGGTAGTGACAACAATAACTGAGTATTAATGATTACTTATAAAATAAGGCTAGTTATAAAATAATAAATAACTGACCAGTTATTGTTTTAATGAACTGATTAATTAATTTTTTTTAAATGGCCAAGGACTGTGGTGTGTCCTGTGTGAATCGGCGAAAAGCCAGGCTCCCGTAAACCCTTACGGATTACAGACTGGATCCAGTTGCAGATATTTATTACAGCTGCCCAGCAGGTGGCAGTAGAGTGGATTTCTTCCAGTAAAGCCTGCAGTCTGGGGACAGGGGTAGAAACCCACCGCCAAGCAGGCCTTGAGCCTTGTCCCAAGCAGCTGGAAATGAACTGTCAGAAGGAAGCCACTGTGTGTGCGTGTGTGTGTGTGTGTGTGTGTGTGTGTGGCTTGAACTCGGCCCCGGCGCTGTCCCTCAGCTTGTTCAATCAAGGCTAGCGCTCTACCCACTTGAGCCACAGCTCCACTTCAGTGGTCAATTGGAAGTCAGTCTCCCACAGGCTTCCCTGCCTAGGGCTGGCCTCAAATAAGGATCCTCAGGCCTCAGCCTCCTGAGGCCGGCATGGGTGCCCAGCTCTACCGTGGGTGTCCAGGAGACCCCTGCCAGCTCCCGGCCCCTACCCACAGCTTCCGGTCAGCCTACCCAGCTCGTCCACCGCGTTCACGTCGGCGTGGCAGGCGATCAGCTCCTCTACCATACCCTCCACCGCCAGGCGAGCTGCCAGGATCAGGCTGGTGGAGCCGTCCGCCATGCGGGCGTCCAGGTCTGTGGAGCGATTCCGGATGAGGATCTAGAAAGAGCGGGGGAGAACACAACAGGGAAAGTCACACCAGGAACAGAGGGATCAGCAGACCCCTGACACCTCCTGGGACTCCCGACCGATTCATGAGCCACAGCTTCCCCTGCTAATTCCATCTCAAGCTAAAAACACCCCAAATCAAAATGGATGGGGGGGGCAGGGGAGATGGTCCTGGGGCTTGAACTCTGAGCCTGGGCACCGTCCCCTCAGCTCTTCAGCTCAAGGCAAGCGCTCTACCACTTGAGCCACTTCCGGTTTTCTGATGATTTATTGGAGATAAGAGTCTCACGGACTTTCCTGCTCAGGCTGGCCTTGAACCATGATCCTCAGATCTCAGCCTCCTGAGTAGCTAGGATGGCAGGTGTGAGCCACCAGCACCTGGCCAAAAAAAATCCATTTTGGAAGCTGGGCACCGGTGGCTCACGCCTGTCATCCTAACTCCTCATGAGACCGAGGTCTGAAGGTCACAGCTAAAAGCTAGCCCAGGCAAGAAAGTCTGCAAGATGCTTATCTCCAATGAGCCCCTAAAAAGCCAGAAATGGAGCTGTGGCTCAAGTGGTAGAGCACCAGCATTGAGTAAAAAAAGCTCAGGGACAGCGCCCAGGCCCAGAGTTCAAGCCCCAGGACCACACAAACACACAAAAGAGAGAGCCTGAGCCGGGCGCTGGTGGCTCACGCCTGTCATCCTAGCTACTCAGGAGGCTGAGATCTGAGGATCGCGGTTCAAAGCCAGCCCGGGCAGGAGAGACCATGAGACTCTTATCTCCAATAAACCACCAGAAAACCAGAAGTGGTGCTGTGGCTCAAGTGGTAGAGGCTAGCCTTGAGCTGAAGAGCTGAGGGACAGCGCCCAGGCCCAGAGTTCAAGCCCCATGACTGACCAAAAAAAAAAGAGAGAGAGAGAGAGAGAGAGAGAGCCTGGAGGGTAGTAGGTGGCTCACACCTGTAATCACCTAGCTGCTCAGGAGAGTGAGTTCTGAGGATTGAAGTTCAAAGCCAGCCTGGACAGGAATGTCTGTGAGACTCTTATCTCCAATGAACCACTCAAAAAAAGCCAGAAGCCAGGTGCCGGTGGCTCATGCCTGTCATCCTAGCTACTCAGGAGGCTGAGATCTGAGGATCGCAGTTCAAAGCCAGCCTGGGCAGCAAAGTCTGTGAAACTCTTATCTCCAATAAACCACCAGAAAACGGGAAGTGGCGCTGTGGCTCAAGCTGTAGAGCGCTCGCCTTGAGCTGAAGAGCTGAGGGACAGCGCCCAGGCCTGGAGTTCAAGCTCCATGACTGACAAAAAGAAAGAGCGAGACTGGATCTGAATCCGGGGTGCCTGATGTCCTCCGCAGCCCCGGTGTCCAGCGGCGATCGGGCTCACCTGGAAGACGCCCTGCGCGTCGGCGGTCACGGCCGTGTGCAGCGGGGTGCGGCCCGAGTGGTCCTGGGCGTTGGTGTCCGCCCCGGCATCCAGCAGCCGCTTGGCAGCGTCGGCCCGGGCATAGCGCGCGGCCAGGTGCAGGGCGGTCTCGCCTGTGCGGTCAGTCCGAGCCCCAAGCTGGGCCCCTTGGCAGATGAGGTCTGAGAGGATGCTGGCGGAGGAGTCGTCCACCTCCTCCTCCTCGGCTGGGATCTGCTCCAGGGCCCCTCCACAGAAGGAGGCCAGCATGAGGGGGGTGAAGCCGTCTGTGGGGACAGGAGGCCGTCACCGAGCCATCGCAGCTTCCCCGGGGGCCCGAGGCCAGGGGCACGCCATTGAGGCCAAATGGGCTGCCGGGCACCGCTGGCTCACGCCTGTCACCCCAGCTACTGGGGAGGCTGAGGTCTGAGGAGGATCGTGATTCAAGGCCAGCCCAGGCAGAAAAGTTTGCGGGCTACTTATCACCAATGGGCCAAAAAGCCAGACATGAGCTGTGGCTCACGTGGTAGAGCACCAGCCTCTGAGCGGGAAGAGCTTGGGGACAGCGCCACCTAGGCCCTGAGTTCAAGCTCCAGGACCAGAGCACGTATGTGCGTGCACACACACACACACACACACACACACACACACGAGCAAATAGGACACACAGCAATACCAGGAGTGACTACACAATGGAAGTGGAGCTGTGGTTCAAGTAACAGAGTGAAAAAGCTCAAAGACAGCGCCAAGTGCTGAGTTCAAACCCCAGGAGAAAGAGGACGAGGGAGAAGAGGAGGAGGCAGAGAGCAGAATTTCTAGTCTAAGTCCTGGAGTGCCGGGGTCCCCGCGGGCTCTGGGCGCTGACCTGGGCCCCGCACGTTCACGTCCATGGCGTCGGCCTCCGCATCGCCCTGCGGTGGCGTCAGCGCCATGGCCGGGGCCACGCGGATGTCGGCAGCCACCAGGTGGTGCTGCGTCCACTGGCGACAGTCCACGGGCTCCTCGGCCCCCGCGCCGGCCTCCTCCACCTGCAAGCACAGGGAGGGCCGGGCTCAACACCGCAGGCCGAGGGAGAAGGGGCTGCCAGGGGCACCGCACACACGCGTGCGCACACACGGGGCTGCCAGGGCCTGGCAGGGGCACCGACACACGCGCACGCACACACATACACACCCTTGAAGCCAAAAGAACCTCTTCCCTCCTTACACTACCCAGCCACAGGTTCTTTGTTACAGCAGCAGCAGCAGCAAATGAACTAGAATTGTCTGGGCCGGGGGGGGGGTCCCCCACTGGGAGGGCCCAGGAAGGACTGGCCAGAGGAACGTGCACCCAAGCCACCAAGCCCAGCGGGCTCCCCCAGCCCATCTCCTTGCCTCCTCTGCGGCCTCAGAACCGCCTGAGAACACACGGGGGCCACAAAGCCCCCTCTACAGTCCCCTGGAGCTTGGGGAGGCAAGGAGAGCCAAGCTCCTCGGGCGGGAGAGGGGGGAAGGAGGGGGTGTCCCAGTACCCTGAAAGGAAAAGAGCTGAGGAGGGGAGGGGAGGGAGGGGAGGGGCGAGGGGAGGGGAGGGCTGCGTGGCACCTTCAGTCGCTTGGCCTCCGGGCACTCTGTGTCCATCCAGTCTGTGGCCACCTCCCCCATCAGACTCTCACCCTTGCCCATGTTCCTAGGGACACAGGAAGAAAAGGGGGTGACAAAGGGCACTGGGGGGGTCTCCCGCCTTCGGAGAGGACTTGGGGTGGAGTCAGAGCAGAGGTCACAGAGGCAAGTCAGGAGGCTGCAGTGGAGATGGGGGGGATCTTCAGTCAACAGGTGGCTCACGCCTGTTATCCTAGCATTCAAGGGGCTGAGATTTGAGGATTAGGGTTTGAAGACAGCCCAGGCAGCGAAGACTCTTATTTCCAACTACCCACTCAAAAACGAAGTGGAGATGTGGCTCAAAGTGACAAGAACCCCAACCTTGAGCACAAAGAGCTCAGGGACAGCGCCCAGGCCCTGAGTTCAAACCCCACCAAGAAGAAAACAACATGAATTTCAGCAGGGTGGGAAAGCTGACATGTCTCTCAATTCTGGTGAAAGACATGAACAAGTTGTCTGGCTCATGCCGTTTTCCCAGCTATTCAGGAGGCTGAGATCTAAGGGTCACAGTTCGAAGCCAGCCCCTGAGACTCTTACCTCCAATGAACCACTCAAAAACCGGAAGTGGAGCTCTGGCTCAAATGGTAGAGTGTCAGTCCTGAGTGAAAAAGCTCAGGGCCCAAGCCCTGAGTTCAAGTTCCAGAACTGGCACAAACAAATAAATATAACTATAAATAAATCTAAGACCCGAATCCTGATTCGAGTGGGAAGTTCCTCAGAGGTGAGGGGTCAAAGGTAAGACTGGGTTAGAGGCAGAGGGGGTGGTGGAGGTCACGGAAGGTCATGGGTCACGGGTGAGGATGAAGTATGGAAATGGGGACCCAGGGAATAGTCAGAAGCCAGAAAGTGGGGATGCCCCCAGCGAGCACAGGGCCTGGGCAGGAGGCTGGACTCTGGGGTCCAGGATGGAGTCTGAAGTGAAGGTCAAGTTAAGGTCAAAGGCCAACCCCAGTGAAGGCCAGGGTGGGTCAAAGGTCCTCACTTCATGCCCAGCGCATCTTGTCCCACGGGCTCCCGCCGGCCTTTGTGGCCGGCTGCCACGTCCTTGTGCAGCGCGAATCCCTCGGGGAACCACAGGGTGCTGTGCTCTCGCTTGCGCCGGGCCACCATGACGCCCAGGACGAAGATGATGAGCAGGAAGACGGCGCTGGCCGCCAGCAGGGGCATGGTGGGCACGCCCTGCGCCGGAGGCTCCAGCGGCTCCCCTGTGGGCGGTGGGCGTGGCTTCAGACGAGGGCGGGGCCTCCATGGCGGCGGGGCGGGGCCTCCGGAATGGGGCGGGGCTTCCACGGTGGGCGGGGCCTCGGCCATGGGCAGGCATTCCACTGTGGGGTGGGGCCTCGGGCATGGGGGTGGGGCTTCCACGGTGAAGCAAGCCTCAGCCATGGGCGGGGTTTCCTCTGTGGGTGGGGCTTCCACTAGGGGGCGGAGCTTCAGTCGTGGGTGGGGCTTCAGCAGCAGGTGGAGCTTCATATGCAAGTGGGACTTCCGGGGGTGGGGGGGTATCCTCGGCTGCTGGGCGCGGCTTTGGCTATGGGGCGTGGCTTCCTCTGTGGGTGGGGTCCCGACAATGGGGTGTAGCCTTAACCATGGGTGTGGCCTGGACTGAGTGGCCTGCGCAACCCCGAGGCAGCGGAGGCGGGGCCTCACCTCGCACATCCCGCAGCGGGTAGGGGAAGTCGAGGCGCTCCACCGCCGACAGGGCCCCCAGGTAGTCGGCGGCACTCTGGGCATCGGGGAAGCAGTGGTCGTTCTCAGGGGACTGCAGGCAGAGCCGGTTGTCAATCTCCAGCATCACGACGGAGCTGCGGGAACAGAAGGGGAGGACCCCAGGGCTCCGCGGGGGCCCAGCCCCACGCGCCCCAGGTCCCCACCGCCGGGTCCCCTCCGCGGCCCGCCTGCTCCGGGCTGGCACCCGACCCACCCACCGTGACCCCCAGACGGGTCTCGCTGGGGCCACCCCAGTGGAGACCTGGGACGGTCCTTTACCGGGCTGAAACACCCAATCCCGGCTGCCCTGCTCTGTGGGTGGGCCCTTTGGTTCCCCATTAAGATTTTTTTATTAGCATATATTGGTGGTCCAAGGAGGGAGGGATTCCATACGACATCTCCGTGCGTACAGTTTCCATACAATGCACACCCCTCCGTCCCTCTCCCCCCTCCTCCTCCCCCCTTCTAACACAACTAACAGGTTTCATCTTTCTGCTTTCAGACATGCATATAAAGTACTTTGATCCTATTTATCCCCCACAGTCTGTTTTTATTCTCACATCATTCATTGTTAATTGTACCCATATGCTTTTGTTTTCTTGCTAGGGACGGGAACCCAGCCTCCGTCATCATCACTTTGGCTTGAAGCAAACCATCCTCTCGGCCTTCCATTCCTGGATGCTTCCAGCCAGAGCCTGTCCCCCCAACCCACATCCAGCCCCTCCCCGCTTCTGTGTCAGGACTCTGTCCTTCTCCTCAGGCCTCTGCTGCATCTTTCACAAATACCATCCCCCACTGCCTTCCAACTCATCTACCCACCCACCAGACAGACAGTTCTTTTGTTTGCTTGTTTGTTTGGTACCCATACTGGGGCTTGAACCACATGGCTTTCTCACCCAAGCCTAGTGCTCTACCACTGGAGCCACAAGATCGAAGTCACAAGTGCCTGGGCCTGACCTCCTCCTCACCCAGAGCCTCCTTCAGGAAGGTCCTGGTGGAGTCACTCACCCGATCACCTCAGGGACCAGCTCCCGCCGGGCTCGGGGTTCGAAGCCAGGGCCGGGCCGGTGGTAAGGGAACACCATGGCCTGGCCGCGGGCGTCCAGGCGGAAGCGCAGCGAGGTCCGCAGGATGGCGCTGAGCCGCTGCAGGAAATCGGCGCCGGAGCGCAGCAGCTCTTCGGGGGGCAGCAGGACGGTGAGCACCAGCACCCCGCGGGCCAGCAGGGCGGGAACCTCACTGGCGCAGTCCAGCCCGTCCCAGCCGCACTCCTCCGTGTTGCAGCCCTGGTCGCAGCGGCCGTCCGCGAAGTGGTCCGCACAGTATTTTTCATACACGGGGCTGGGGGGGAGGGGGACAGAGAGAGCAGCGTCAGGGGGGCCTCTGATCGCCCCCAAATGCGCACAGACCACACAGCGCCTGCACGGGGGGGGGGGGGGGGAGGCGCCATTGGCTCTCGCCTGACATCCCAGCTACCCCGGGAGGCTGAGATCTGAGGATCGTAGTTTGAAGCCAGCCTGGGAAGGAAAGTCTGTGCGACTCTCTGTCTCCAATTAACCATCAAAAACTGGAAGTGGGGCCGTGGCTCAAGTGGCAGAGCGCCAGCCTTGCGCAAACCAAGCTCAAAGACGGCGCCCAGGCTCTGAGTTCAAGCCCTGGGAGCAGCATAAAATAGAAGTTTAAAAAATAAATCCAGCGCCGGTGGCTCACGCTTATCATCCTAGCTATTCAGGAGGCTGAGGATCGCGGTTCAAAGCCGGGCCGGGAAAGGAAGCTCTGGGGGTAGACTCTTGGGGATGGTGGTGGTGTTCATGGGGCTTGAACTCGGGGCCTGGGTGCTATCCCTGAGCTTGTTTGCTCAAAGCCACGGCTCCATGTCCTGGTTTTCCGGCGGTTTCTTGGAGGTAAGAGTCTCAGGGCTGCGATCCTCAGATCTCAGCCTCCAGAGGAGCCAGAATGACAGGCGGGAGCCACCAGCTCGGGGCTGGGGTGGAGCTGTGGCTTACGCTGTGCGGCAGATGCGCGGCCCTGAGTTCGAGCCCCAGCACCAACACCGTTTTTAAGGTGTGGGGGGG